ATGCATGGTAACAATAGTTGAAAAAGATAACGGATTATTGTATAGTACAACTTTTATAGCATAATGTATAAAAAAAATAACTGAAAAAACAGACATAAATATTATATCATTCATTCACACTTATCAATTTTTAGATTAGAAAAGAAGTTTTGTAATTATTCATGAAATTGAATTTAAACATTAATATAGTCAAGTGGTGAAATTAACAGGAAGAACATAGGAAAAGACCAAATTTCAAAGGTCGTCGTCTGCAAACTTTTCCTAAATGTAAATGAAAATTATTAGAAGTTTCAAATGTATCATCATTATTTTACACCGACTGATGTTTGGTAGTATATACAAGTGATGGGCCGGGGAAAAAATAAGAAGAAGAAGACATCAACAACCAACTAACTGTTATATATATATCACACTAAATTTTGCAAAATTATTAATTAGTAAAGCTAACAAGTAGCCTCAGCTTAGCTTGCACTGTTCCCTGGCCTTCAAGATTGAGTTTTTAAGTTATGATAGATCCAGCTGGTGGTTGGCACATGTAGTTTAATCATGATTACACATTCAACTATCCCACAACACATAATGCATGTGAGAGGTGCATAGTGTTGATTTATAATCATAGTTTAACTAAAAAATATTACACGTAAAATGATCATATACAATATTTATTCAATTAAAATAAAGTATATAAAATGAATAAGAACAAGACCAAATTTCAAAGTCAGTTGCTTGGTCAATTTCTACAAAATTTCCCTAAATGTAAATGGAAAATGTTTTGAAGTTTCTTATGCATCATGGTATGCATGTGTTTCTTTATTCTCTATTTTCTTAAAAATGCAAAAACTGTTATGTTAAATATATGTTTAATATGTATTAATTTCTTAAAAATAAAGATACTTTAAAAAAAAAAGAAATTAGGTGATCCTAATTTTACCAGATTAATCTTCCTAAGTCCATGATACCGATCCCGGTCTCGGCCCGCCTCTAGAGTCACTGTGAATGTAAATCGCGAGTCACGCAATAATCCAGACCTTCCGACATACTTGAACCATTTTTTTCAAGATTTAGAGAACTTTGCAGTTAGTGGTGGAGGATGTATTATGGAATGGCATGGCCTGTGTCTCTCTATTCCCTACATAAATAAATAAAATGAGATGAACATGCGAATATATTTATTTATATTAAATTTAGTTTTGTGCGAAAATGAGATAAATGGAGTATTGAGAGGGAGGGTTGTTGGAAGTTTGAAGGGTGTATATAAGTTGACTAGCATGGGGCATGGATGATTGGATGGGTAGTTATCGTCCATTATTGCTTCTTTTTTATATTTTCTTATTTCTTTTTTTTTAAAAAAATTTAAAAAATCCAAATTATATTTAATTTTAAAATTTTACAAAATATGAGTAAAATAAACGCATTCACCGGTCACTTTTACAAATTAATGTAGTTTAATTAGTCTTTTTTTTTTTTTTTTTTTTTTTTTTTTGTGACTGAAGAAACTTATAATCAATACCTAATAATGTGTACAAAGTAACTATAGAGAGAATTAGTACGTATTATATGTGAGAGATTTAAATGGGAGATATGTGATGTTTGAGTGAAAAGGGCTCGATCGAGTTTCATAGCAATTGCCATGGAAGCCTCCAGGAATTGCATAGCAAATAGCAATTGCGGGCCAAGTCAAATGGGGACTGCATCAGCCTCTGCCATATTCAACTAAGAATAATATGTGATATGTGCATGTGCTGATGTGCATGCATCATATATCCCTCTCACTAATATAATGCCTATTGGTTTCCGCCTCCATTGTGGATATCTAATTTGTCTCCTACCACTCTAAGTTTCTCTCCCACAAACTACTCCATCTCCATTTTCATTCTATTTTCTAAATGTTTACACTATTTACATATTCATATCTATCTATCTCATTAAATACATCATCTATAATTCATACTAATTTATATTTATTGACTTTTCATCAATATAACTGATTTGTTATACTACATGCTAATGTCATTACATAAAATTTATAAAAAATGATACGGTACAAAATTTGATGCGTACTACAATATATATATATATATATATATATATATATATATATATATATATATATATATATATATATATATATATATATATAATGAACTAGTTAACTAAAATAAATTTAATAAATTACTCATTTATTTTGGAAGACTTGATCAATATAATAATAACATATTTTAGTATAAACATAGATATGTAAATTTACCCTAGAGCAACACTATAACTTTTTAAAATATATATATATTTTTCATGTTCTTTGTTTTTTAATTAAATGTGACAACCATTTTTTGAGGTCATCTTTGTGCACTTGCAAAAGTTCTCGTGACTCTATTTAATAATGATTAACTATTAACTAATGGTAAAATTTACCACATTATATTGTATTTTACTATATTTTAGAAATAAAAATAAAGTGCGGTATCGTCAATTTTTTCATCTTTTAATATTGGGACGTCAAAATATTTACTAGTACATATATGTATAAAGTATTTATGACCATATATGAAGTGATTATTAATTAACCCTGTAATTGTTATATACCATATATGGACCAGTATCCATATTGTGGACCCTAATTTAAAAATTATGTATTCAGAATTATTAAGTCATGTCAATAAAATAATAAATAAAAATTGTGAAAAATACGTAATTTTAATTACCTATTAAGGGAGTTGAAGAACTTGAAAGTTTGTGTGATCAAGAAATTTCTTGAAGAATCAGTTGAGCTGCACTCTGCGATCTGCCCAATTTATTAGGGTACTGATACATAGTTTATAGGGCTTCGAATTGTCAAATTGCGAAATTGGAAATATCTTTAAGAGTTTTTTCCACTTTTGGTCCCTTGACTTTACTTGTGCTGACAAATGTGATTCATGACTTTTATTTCAGACAAAATTAGTGCCTAACTTCAATTTCATTTCCATATTTGGTCCCATCCGACCAAGAATCTGGCCAACCCACCGGAAATTTACACATCTCTTGTTTTTCTAAGGGTAAATTAATATTTTCTTGCCATGTAAAATAATAAAAGATATATTTAATTGCTTCATTGTTGTCTTTGCTCGGCGGCGGCCTCTGAGCTTTGAACTTTTTGCAGAACGTCGTGTGGCTGTTCAGAGCCTCTTCACTGCCAATATGTTGCTCCGACCTCGCGCACAACCCGCATATCCACCGCCCTTGGTTCCGCTCTCGGACCTTCACTACGTACACCTCTGTGCACTCTTCCGTCAGTCCGCAGCACTCGCATTACGCGAACAACATCACTTCGTTCATCTTCGCCGCCGTCGCTGTCGTCGCCGCTCCGTTTCCCTACGTTGTCGCCTCCTTCCTCATCATCATCGTCTTCGCAGCCATTCTCGGTGAATTCCAAATCCAAACCGCTCTTTCGAAATTTACGCACTGCATAAGAGCACAGTGTATTCAAAAATCAAACACAAAATCAGAATCCTCTGATAAATTCCATGAATCAAATATATATCCCGTAAACCTACACTATAAACTTCTCAAATCTACATGCAAGTTTATACTATATCTACAAAATTACATTATACATACATTTAACAGACAATCTGGAGAGAGTTTGCAGCAACGATCCTGGTTTTCTGTTTGAAAATTATCTTCTTTTTTTTTTCTCCCACTCGCCTTCTTCTTCAACAATCTCGCCGTCGATGATCAGGAGCTTGAAGATCATATACATTTCAGAGAGCCATGTATGGCTTCTCGCGATGACTCTACTCCACTGAACAAAGCTTTTTTCTATCACCATCGTCGAGCAGACGCAAATATCAGTTAGCAGAGAAGCTTCGGGAAGAAACTGGCAGTGACATTGATTTATAGGATGAGGATGGAGGTATAAATAAATAATAATAATAGGAAGCAACTTTAATTTGACGAGAATGAAGCAATTAACAATTTCTTAGTTTTTACTACATATTATTTTACAAGGGCAAGAAAAGACTAATTTACCCTTAGAAAAACAAGAGATGTGCAAATTTCCGGTGTGTTGGCCGAATTCTTGGTTGGATGGGACCAAATGTGGAAAAGAAATTGAAGTTAGGCACTAATTTTGTCTGAAATAAAAGTCATGAATCACATTTGTCAGCGCAAGTAAAGTCAAGGGACCAAAAGTGGAAAAAAATCATATCTTTAATTCCTTATACTCTGAACATGCTATTGCCTAATTGGGATTTGAGAATTTGTTAATTGAGATTTCGGATTAGGAAATTTAATTGCCCGAATTGCAGTTTTGGTAATGTCCTTATAGTCTGACCTAATTGTCCTTATATATATATATAACTTTTGTTAGGTTTTTAAAGCAATTTGGGCTCAATTTTCTTTTTATAAAATAAATAATATATATACATATAGTTTTATTTTTAAAATATGGGGCCTCCAAAAATTGGGGGCCCTATGCAATCGCTCATGTTAGACATGCTCAGAACCGGTCCTGCCTGTAAACACATATTATGTTGTTAAAATATTATGTATATACGTTAACAATTTATGTGTTTGTAGTTAACATATATATTATGTGCTTTTAAATATATCAACTACGAATACATAATCTAAAAATTATTTAGACCAGAATCTACAATGTAAAGTAGACACACTAGTCAACGGTATAAATTGCCCTACCTTACCTTGCCAACCCATTCATGCCTTTCCATTATAGTAAAGTTATTTTAACAACTACTCGTTATAAAAATAATATGTTACCAAAAATAAAAATAATACCATAGTAGTAGAGATGCAAATCCATATATATTATATAATATATGTTGCATGTGATGCCCACGTAAGGAAATCTGAGCCCTGAAATCCATATAAAATGAAGGGCTACGATTAAACAGCCACCAACCCCCAATTGGTCCGTCTGCTACCAATCTCCTTCTTCTCTCCCTCTACACCTACCTACCAAAAATTGCACCCATTCTTAGTATCTATTTATACCACACAGACACGCATTAGCTACCACAACCAAATTAACACATTTCTCAATAAAATTCTTTATTCGTCCCTTCCCGTCCCCCACGCCCAATAACTAATATGGACTCAGTGAAGCTGCAGAATAATGGCCACCAAAATGGCTTCTGCGTCAAGGTTGATCCTTTGAACTGGGAGGTGGCTGCCGACTCATTGAGGGGGAGCCACCTGGATGAAGTGAAACGCATGGTGGCCGAGTTTAGGAAGCCGGCGGTGAAGCTCGGCGGAGAGACGCTCACGGTGGCTCAGGTGGCAGCTATCGCCTCCCGCGACAATGCCGTCACGGTGGAGCTCTCCGAGGAGTCCCGCGCCGGCGTTAAGGCCAGCAGTGATTGGGTGATGGATAGCATGAACAAAGGGACTGATAGCTACGGCGTCACCACCGGCTTCGGCGCCACCTCTCACCGTAGAACCAAACAAGGTGGCGCTCTTCAGAAGGAGCTCATTAGGTAAAACCACAAAACTAACATCTATCTAACTTTCCTTTTCATTGTTTTGTTTATTTTATGTAAAAATGCCATTTTTATACACATATATGCTTAACTTGCATACACTATTTTTGGAAAAAGATTTTTTGGGTTGAGTTTTCTTCCCTTTTGTAGACCCACACAAAGATTTATTATTTCCACAACTTGTTCGTAATCTTTCCAAGACATAGGAATTAGCGTCACAAGATTGTCCTAATAATATGTATTATAGAGAGTAAAGACAAGCACAGTAACTTTACATCGGAAGGTGATTTTTTTTTTTTTTTTTTTTTTTTTGGTACAGAGTACTAGTTAACAATAACCAATAGGTAATACTAATATTAATTTGAAATTATTTTATTTTATTCCAAAAGTTAAATATAAATGTATTTAGATTTACAGTGAAAATTTAGTCAAACTAACCAATAAACAATTAAATTGAAGAAACACAATAGGACCAACTGCTAACTATTTTGAGTATGAAATCTTTTGTACCACATAATAATTAAATTTAAAACACTTAGCTTGTATTAAAAGAGATGGTAAATATTAGGTGGAAACTAAGAAGTGGTTATTTAGGTACAACAATTAATGGAATTATTGTATAGCAAGTGTTTATGGTTGGGACTTAGAAGTCAGCAGTGCAGTCCCCCATAGTGAATAAAGTAGTTAATTATTTTGTTTCATAATTATGATGTGACAAATAATATGTAAGTACATTTCAATTTATAAAAAGAGTTAAATTTCGTTACATGTACTCTTAATTTGATGGACACTGATAAACCATTTTGTTTTCAAGGGTCCTAGATTGAAAAAAGTGTTTACAAGTTTTTGAGTGTGAAAATAAAACTCAAAATTAGAGAATCTCATCATATTTGTTACCATAAAATTAAGATCACAAAAATATACAGTACTTCCTAGCAGTTTGATGATTTGATTTAGTGTAGTATTGACTGGAATTATATTTGCAGGTTTTTGAATGCTGGAATATTCGGCAATGGAACAGAATCATGTCACACTCTTCCCCATTCAGCAACAAGAGCCGCCATGCTTGTCAGAATCAACACCCTTCTTCAAGGATACTCTGGCATTAGATTTGAAATCTTGGAAGCAATCACTAAATTGCTGAACCACAACATTACCCCCTGCCTGCCCCTCCGTGGCACAATCACTGCCTCCGGTGACCTTGTCCCGTTATCCTACATTGCTGGCTTGATCACCGGCCGCCCCAACTCCAAGGCCGTCGGACCCAACGGGGAGACCCTCAACGCAGAGGAAGCTCTGCGGTTAGCCGGAGTGAACGGAGGATTTTTCGAGTTGCAGCCCAAGGAAGGACTTGCCCTCGTTAATGGGACCGCCGTTGGTTCTGGCATGGCCTCTATGGTTCTTTTCGAGGCTAACGTTCTTGCAGTGCTGTCTGAGGTTCTGTCGGCTATTTTTGCTGAAGTCATGAACGGGAAACCAGAATTTACCGACCATTTGACGCATAAGTTGAAGCATCACCCCGGGCAGATTGAAGCTGCTGCTATTATGGAACATATTTTGGACGGCAGCTCTTACGTGAAGGCGGCTCAGAAGATGCACGAAATGGATCCTTTGCAGAAACCCAAACAGGATCGCTATGCCCTCCGCACTTCGCCGCAATGGCTCGGCCCTCAGATTGAAGTCATTCGTGCTGCAACCAAAATGATTGAGAGGGAGATCAACTCTGTCAACGACAACCCTCTCATAGATGTTGCCAGAAGCAAGGCCTTGCACGGTGGCAACTTCCAGGGTACACCAATCGGTGTGTCTATGGACAACTCAAGATTAGCCCTTGCATCTATCGGCAAGTTGTTGTTTGCCCAGTTCTCTGAGCTTGTGAACGACTATTACAACAATGGGTTGCCTTCTAATCTCACAGCAGGGAGGAATCCAAGCTTGGATTATGGTTTCAAGGGCGCTGAAATCGCCATGGCTTCTTACTGCTCCGAGCTGCAATTCTTGGCTAATCCGGTTACTAACCATGTCCAGAGTGCTGAGCAGCACAACCAGGATGTGAACTCCTTGGGTTTGATCTCAGCTAGGAAGACTGCTGAAGCTGTGGACGTGTTGAAACTCATGTCATCCACTTATCTCGTGGCGCTTTGCCAAGCTATTGACTTGAGGTTCTTGGAGGAGAACTTGAGGAATGCTGTGAAGAATGCAGTTACACAGGTAGCTAAGAGGACTCTCACTATGGGTGCTAATGGAGAACTTCATCCCGCAAGGTTTTGCGAGAAAGACTTGCTCCGAGTGGTGGACCGCGAATATGTCTTTGCATATGCCGATGATCCCTGCAGTGCTAACTACCCACTGATGCAGAAACTCCGCCAAGCCCTGGTTGATCACGCCTTGCAGAACGGGGAAAGTGAGAAGAACACCGGCACTTCAATTTTCCTAAAGGTTGCAGCTTTTGAAGATGAATTGAAGGCTGTTCTGCCAAAAGAAGTTGAGGCTGCAAGGATCGCTGTAGAGAGTGGGAACCCGGCTATTCCAAACAGGATTAAGGAGTGCAGGTCTTACCCATTGTACAAGTTTGTTCGTGAAGGCCTGGGCACCGAGTTGCTGACCGGAGAGAAGGTCCGGTCACCGGGCGAAGAGTGTGACAAGGTGTTCACAGCTATGTGTGAGGGAAGTATCATAGATCCTTTGCTGGAATGTCTTAAGAGCTGGGATGGTGCTCCTCTTCCTATCTGTTAATTTATTTCAATTCATTGCTTATTTTCAATGTAATATATACATTTTATTTTATTTTTCTGGAGTTATGCTACTTGGACATGTTTTGGCTTTTGGTAAAATCCAGTTGTAATCTTTTCTGGAATGCTTCTCTCTGTAGGGATGTAGCTACATGTGCTTTTCTGTTCAGTAAAAGATAAATGAGTAGGCACTGTTGTGGAATAATCTGGAGATGAATGTTCTCTCATATTTACCATTCCGATTGCCATGTTTTCAGGCAAACAGACCATTCCCACATTTGCAGAGGTTGAAACACCACTTAAAGAATGCTTGCATCTGCAAAAGTTTGTGGTTGGCCAGCAAAACATTCCAAAATACTGAAAGATCATTCGTCTATATATGTCAAAGCAAAAGGACCCTTTGGTCTGCCTAAACTAACTCTTTTAGATGGTTTGATCATCCAATGACCCTACAAGTTGATACTGTCTGCGACTGATCTCAAAATAGCTGCAGTTGGTCTCAAGTGTCTTAGATGTGGAGCGGGGGCTCTGATTTCACAGCCTACTTGAAGGCTCCCCGAGAAACTCGTAGCTGTAATACAAGAAAATGGTCTGGGATAATATGATGTTGGTGTTACCAATTGTTCTGGCAGTGTTGAAGTCGCACATGGAGCATCTGTTCCCTGGCTGGCCAAAAGTAGTTCTGGTTGCAGGTTTGCAAATGACTCTATAGTGGCAGCCAATTCAGGATTTGGAGATGTTGCCCCAACCGCTGGCGAACTTACTGGTGTTACTTGAGGAGAAGTTTGAGGACCTGCAGATAACTCTGACATGACTGATAATAGAGGATTTTGCCCGCTAAATTGCAAGGATACTGACGATAATGGATGACCAGCTGTTTGAGGAACCACAGATTGTAACTCGGGCTGTAATATAGGATTACCAAACAATGTCCCACTCCTTGGCAAGCCCACAGATGATATTTGCAGATTGGCAGTATGCTGAACAGCTGATGGGTGATTCGTTGCATGATCCGAATTCACATGTTTTGGATTTGTAGTAGGAGCCCTCATTATATCTGATGATGGATTCAATGGTGAATCAATAACTGGTTGGCTTGCCAATGATTCTGTAGGAACTGCAATAGTTTGTTGAAAACAGAGTTGATATATCTGGTTAATGAAAGTAGATCCGCAGAGTAAATAATTAAATTCGTCAATAGTTCAGATTAGAATTAAAAAAAAAAAAAAAAAAAAAAAAAAACTGATTTAAAAAGCACAATGTTATATTTAGTTTCTTCAAATACGCTGTGCATTGCAATAATGAGATAATATAATCTATTTTGCGCACCTTTCTCTATCTCTTGTGAATTAGCTGTATCATTAGCATTTCTCTTCTCAATCATGAATTCAGCTAATAACTTGTTTAAATGTACCCTGTCATAACATCCATTACACTCCTTTAGCTTTTGTACAATTTCCATCTCCACATTTTGAAGCAGCAAGTCATACTTCTTCCTTATCTCCAGTAACTCTTTCTCAAACTCAGATCTCAGAAACAATTTCTACAAAACATATTCCTTAATACAATCAGTAACACTTTCCTCTTGGAAGATGACAAAAGAACATGATAAAGAAAAAGGGGGGAAAATTGTAAATGTAGACTTACCAAATCTTCATGCAATTTCATAGTTTGCTCTCTCTCTTTCTGTATCTTATCCATTTCTCTTTGAAGAGGGTCTAAGAAATGTGACTGTGGAACGTCAGCTATGCCTGAGGACTCAATAGGATTATTATTTCCAAAATCTTCTTGATTGTTTATGCTTCTTGGGGTAGTACCATTTGTCTCCATTCCATCTGCTTGCACAGCTGAGAGGGGTATTGATAAATTTCCTGCAGATTGTTGGACTGAAGAAGCCAGTGGTTGATTTGAATCTTCTAGGGGAAATGACTTTGGAGCTTGGAACTGACAAGAATGTGCATCTACACAATTTATTTGATCTTGTTCATTGTTTGTGATTGTCGTTTTAGTACCAGTAACATTTGCTTCAATTCCATCTGCTTGGAACTGACAAGAATCTGGAACTGTAACAGCATTTGCTTTCTGTATCCCTGCTTCATCCCTTTCGGAAGATTCATGCAAGCCATCCAGTAAACAATGTTGTTTTCTAACCCTCTGGGAGGGGTTAGACAAATATTTCCTCCTTGAGTGCCTCCCTTCTAACAAATTCATCCAGAACAAGGATGCATGTTCATTATCAAGTAATCCTGATATGATGGAGGAATCTTCCCTCGACTGCATTTCCAATTCACCAGGTAAAGTTATATTTTGAGGGTAGGCTCCTGCATTCTGCTGCACTTTCAAAATCCTGAAGCAGTTAGCAGAGCCACTGTTCTCACTGCTGCTGGGCAATAGGTTTAACAACTCAGAAAATACATCATCCAGAAGAGCTTTGGATGAAATATTGTGATGACAATCATCGTGCTTGTTGAATAGATAGGAGGCACCCCAAGCCAACAGTTCATGGCAAGTTGTCTGCTTTAATCTTTTGATGTTACTGTCAACACTTAAACCTCTCTTTGCAAGAATTAGTGTTTTTTCTTCTATAGTACAAGATGAATATAAACGAAAGACCTTCAACTGCTCAAATTTTGAATCAATGGTCATCTTCTGCAATGCTCTAAAATCATTCATTGGGTCCCAGTCACTGTCAAATAGAACCACAGTATCTATAGCTGAAAGCTTGATGCTAGGAACACAAGCTCTTGTTTCCATCAAAATGACAAATTTTCCGCTTTCTTTATTGTTGAACTTGTTCAGTATAGTTCGCCTCATTGGAGCAGAAACATTCCCACAAATGCGTGCATGAGAGTCTATTCCAAATTTTAGATGAATGAAGTCATCCAAAATGTCTCCAATAGAAATCCCCCCAGATGCAGCAAAGGACTGACAGGTGAAAAGCAATCCATCTTTCTATTAATATCCATCAAATAAATGAAAAGAACTGGTGATTAAGTAAAAAGTAAAGTGCATAATTTCCAATTTATTCTACTTCAAAAATATCATCTTGTAATGAGCTGTATGATATCTGAGGGTGGTCCAACAAAACAGTAAGATGGAATACTGGAACAGCTTCATATAAGCATAGTAAAGCAAAAAACTATGGATGTAATGAAATCTGGAAGGTTGATAGGGTTTGTAAATAATCAAAGGCACATGAGGAAGTAGAAGAAATGAAAGAGACTCTGAGAATTTATCCTCTGCTGGGCCTACCCTCAATATATTCCTGCTGCAAATCCAAGGGAATACCCATACATTTTCTACTCTAAGATGCTGTATTTTGAGAATAGAGATTACATTTTAAAATAAGGAAATAAATCAACTATAAGTATTAGAAATAAGAACAGGGATTGGAGGGAAAAGTAAACAAAGAGTTGAACCTTACCTGATAAAGAATTAGGACTCTTAGCCCTCGTTTCCTAATCTCGAAAAGGATCCTATTGAGGAGTTGTAATTTTCCACTAAGTTCAATCTCAACATCTAACTGATCATCTGCTGGAATGCCTTCTACCATGGATTTCCGCAGAGTACAATCTACCAGGTATGGGTGATCACAGCACTAGATGGTACAGAAAGTAAATTCCAGTTAGGAAGTTAGTGATATCAACTGTATTGCAGCAACTAGAAACCTTCAACTTAGTTGTTGAAAATTACTGAAAAACAGAACAGATGCACTCAAAAGTTTACTGGATCAAAAAGATGCACCAAAAGTTGGACAAACCTTTCTAGTTGACATTAGTAAGTCATGAAGGGAGCACTTCAAACTAGAGCAAAGCAAAGGTGAATTTGATAAAAGGCAATCACAATATTGTTCAGTTTGTACATCTGAGAGCCTGACCGGGACCCAGTACTCAACAAATTTGGACATGGAGGACTTGCACTCATATGCAATATACTTTGTGAACCGTTCTTTGAACTTGATATCTTCTGTGTAAGCTCCGCTCTCTGGGAAATCACTATTGGCATCTTCATATTCTGAATCAAGTAAAGAGAGAAATTTGCGGTAACTGAACCTTCTATCCTGATTAATTTAGGTAGCTTTCATTAGTTGTGAACATGTTAGAATATGGGAACTGATTAACAATTGGCGTATATTTACCTCTATTTGACGGAAAAGAAGCAGTTTCTTGTCAGTAGCAAGCACTTTGATGTGTTCAAAATAATTTCGCACAGAAGACGACTGTTGGCTAGTATCTATGATTATTGCTTCCCAACTTATAGATTTAAGCATTTCAATGTCCTGCAGAACGAGTGGAGAAATGTCAATGACTTTGAGTTTCTTGTTAAAATATTATTCAAATAATTCTTTCACAGAATCATAGTATTTGTGTTTCATTCAACCAGAAAGCACAATCTTAAGGAATTGCAGTGACAACTAATGGAACATCTTGATCAATAGTCAATACTATATAACTTAGGATGCTCAAGTGATAAATTAGTCATCTATCAGATGGAAAGGGGAAAAAAATTGAAGGATATAGCAACAAATGGGAAAAATTACCTCAACAACTGCATTACAATGTGAGATAAGAACTTGGAACATAATGGCACCTTGCACATTATAAAACTCAAGAGTCCTAATGACAGCACGGACGTCTTCATTCCCTTTGTATACAAGTGCATTGATAGACGATGCACAACGTGAGAACTCGTCTTCCCAATATGAGAGTGCAGGGCGAGTAGTGATTATCAAAAATGGCCGTCTCATATCTCTTGCAAAAGATGATATTAAAAGCACTATCTTCAGAATACGTTCCTGAAAATTCCAAACATTCAACTTCTTACTTCGAGTACAGCTTTGATAATACCCTTATCAGTTTATCAATTCAGGTAACAGGTCACACATATCAGGGCAAGGGGCAAAATTATATCGTGGACATGAAAACTGGACAAGGAACATTAATTAGTTAACCTGGCTGTCAATCACAACTGCATTTTCGCTAGTGCGCCAATATTTTAGAAGTTTGTTCACATAAATGAGATGATTGCTGTGCACTTGAGCTGTAAATTCAAATGGGAATGTCAATAGCTCAGGAAGAGGACTTCTACTTCCCTGCAGTAACATCAGAAAGAGACAATCATCCAGGTGCTAGTAAAAATATGCATGACAAATATCAGTAACTATTAGCTAGTATATAACCTTGCTAGTTTGTCTTTTCTACTCTGACTTTTTTGGGAATTGATTGGGGAAATAATATTTTATCACAACAAAGTTTCCCCATCTTATATACTCTTATATCATTCAACATTGAAAAACTTAGTAGTGCTTCATTCATTTTACTGCAATGGCAACTAATGTGCCATGCAACCTCCAATTTTAGTTCATGCATACAGTTATGATGGCATTAATTGAAAGACACTAGCAACAACATGAAACCAGGATTTTAGAAGCCTGCTGTCAACAAAGATATAATTAATCTTCATTGTATTGGTTTAATAGTTAGAAGTACCTTATCCTTATCATTCTTGGAAGGGTGCACCTCTGGGTTTGCCTTTTTATGATGACTTTCATAGTCACTGATCATTTTTAATGCCTTGGAGGAATTTAAACATGGAGCAGTGTCTAATTCCCAAGTAGCTTGATCATAATCAAGGCCTGTCCATTTCACAAGCCACTCATAACGGCAATTGGAACCATTATCATTATGCCCCAGAGAATCTGTTTCACTGGACTCCGGTAGTAACAACAACCTTTTCTCAAGCAAACGATGAGGCATAGTCCAATCTGTTTTCCAACTCACATTCTGAAGAAAGCATCTTAAAAATGTTAATGATCAATAAGCCCATAAAAGGAAAAAAAAATGAAAAATATATTAACACCTTTATCAATATCACCTTATTGTGTTTGTTAAATCTTGCAAGCAGTGTTGAAGCCTCTAGAGTCAATTCTGCCTCTGGAATCCAGCGGTTATGAATATGAGCAAGGCCTTTGTACTTTACCAAATATTCCTTCTGTATTTGCTTCTGTTTATGCATCACTAACACCAGGTCCCAAAGTTACAGTTACAACAATGCACTGTTAATATGTTTACAAAAAAATGCAAAACCAACTCACATGAAATAGAATAATATGCAGATGGCCAATACCTTCATTTTCACAATCAGCTCCTCTAGAATCCAAAATAGACTCTACTCCTTCAGACACAGCATGAACACCTAATTCCATCTTCTTTTTGACACACCAAATACAGTACCATGCTCCAAGAGGGAAATATGTTAGTGGGGGGTCTACACAAGGGAGATGGAACTTCCTCCCACATCCTTTTCCAGCACAGCATCTGGACAAAATAGTACATTAGTACCATGCTTTGACTAGCAGTAACACCACTGGACAAAATAGTACATTAGTACCCATACTCTTTGGATGTTAAAACATAAATGCATAAATGGAAGATAGCAGTGGAGTAACATCTCAAATAACAGATGAAATGAATTGAGTAAGGTCAATGAGTGAACATCATTTGTCATGAACCATGGAGGGGGCATTTAGTTATATTCCTAGCATGTGTAATATTGTTTCCTTTTACTACTAGGACTTATAATAGTTAGTGGCTAGGCCTATGGAACCATCTCAGATAAGACTGCTTTCTTATTTAGGGTTTCATCCCTGTATGTCGGCCGTGTGTAAATGACCTTGCTCTAGCCTCTAGGACATAAATGTACCACAACCCTAACATGTTTAGGCTTGCCTATCTTTTATTTCAGGCTGCTTCAACCAGTTTTAGTATATTATCAACTAAATGTAAGGAAGAAAAATAGCTAGTAACTTGCAATGGAGAATGAATGCAACCCAGTACTTAGAAAGGGTAAAAATATCATTATTATTTTTTAAATACAAGATAGTAAGGTACTCACAATAGCTTTCCCCCTTTAGAGCATATCAGACATTTGCTATGCTCACTTCCAATCTCATTATCCTGTTTGGAATTTATGTACTGCACATCACAAGCCTCTGGATTTGTAAGCTTCAAGTCAAGGTCAGGCAATGATTTTGTATTGATTTTATCCTGTGTGTAGCAAGAAATAGTGACAATTTACTTCAATGTGTTCAATTGTTCATAAATAACAGACCATATAAAAGATGCTCAAGACACCAATCAAATTTCCCTCTCAAAGGTCTTTACATCTTTTTCTCTCTTGTTGTCATTATCTTTCTTTGAGAAGAGGAAGGGGTAGGGAACTGAGTGAAGTTAAGTACTCATGGGTCAGAGACTAAGAACAAGTTAAGTACAAGAAATGATGTTCATGAAAATAATTGAAGCAGGAAGAGAGACACCAAATAGGTAGGTAATTACTTGTAAATTGCAGGTAGAGGTACATTCTTGTAGGGAATCATCCAACCTGTGAGCAGATAAACACTAACTGAGCTTCCAGGTTTCAAACAGAAATATAGAACAGATAGCTAGGAATAAGGTAGTAACTTAATAGAACAGAATACCTTTCTTCTTTGGAATTTGAACAGGAGCTTTCTGCAACTCTCATGTTGGTTACACTGGGTTCATTAGTTCCACTGACAGAGCAACCACTTTCAGACAGCCTATCCTGCTTTCCGTGTGCATGATCTGCTGATAGTATATGCAAGTTATGCAGCTTAGAAAGAATTTGGTGTCTCCACGATAAAATATGAATTGCTATGATTCAGTTTAGACGGCTTAACATCATATCATATGTGTCTAAATTATGGTAGCAGCTAAGATCTGTCACATACATTACAGAACAGGATAGTTTAATTTCAAATTAACAATAATGTATAGTGATAAGAGTTTACCTATGGCCTTCACTCTCTTAACCCGTGATACTAGAAGTTTCTTAAATTCTCGTCCACTCAGCTTCCTCTTTCTTGAAACTACATGCACAATTCCATCATTTCCATGGTCCTCTTTTTCATGATACTTTGGAGAACCCAATTGTGAATTCATATCACTCAAACTTTCAATCCCTCCCCTTCAATGAAGGGAATAATTGTCACGATTTACACAAGATGCACAACGCAATGTCTTGTTAAAGTGACCAAAAAAACACTGCAGTCACATTTACAGTCAAGATGTCAATGCACTGGTAGACAACTAATAGGCAAAATATCAGCCCCCCTCCATGAGTTCAACTCACAAACCATTGTGTGTGTTTATGTCGAATTGGTAATAACAATAGAAGAGGTTGTTTTTGTGAAAAGAAAAAAAAAAAAAAAGCAATGATATAAATCATTTATAAGATCTAAAACAAAGTTTTTCAGGTCATACCACTTTACCTAAGTCTTAGAAATTTCTTATCTCACAACACAATCTCTTTTATTATTATTACCAATTCAATGCATATTTATAAATACATTGCACACCAAAGCAACATAAAGAGGGGGTAAACAAAGACACACATAAAATTTCTGCAAAATCACAGCCTATTTAAACAGAGGCAGCTGAGGGTTTGTATACACATTTTGTTTTTACTTTTTCTTTGTTGTTGATCACAAACACGACTAGCCTAAAAAAAATTGTTAAATAGCAAGGGAAAGGATGCTATAACCAAAGCAAAAAGTATTATATATGTCCACAAGTAATGCTCATGGTAGTATGGGAGACATGGGTGATTTTGGAGCTTTACATTCATAAACTCCATGTCTCCCTCCTCAACCATTTTTGTAAAGCCCGTTAGCTTCCCATAGCTCTTAGCTTTCGAGCTAGGAGGCCGAACAGGAGGTTGGAAATTAGAGCTACAATGCAGAAAGCTTTACAAGGTTACCTTCATACGCTTGAGAAATCGCAGAGAGAGTGAGATGTACTTCCTCCGCCCCTGGTTAAATGGCTTTTCTCAACCAACCAAAAAAAAAAAAAAAAAAAAAAAAAAAAAAAAAAAAAAAAAACAGAAACAGAGAGGCAAGCAGTAGGAGCGGGGGGGATGGGGTTAAGGCGTTGAGGGGGCTGGGCATGCAGGAAATGCCATTAAATCATTAATGCAATGGCAGTTTTATTCGTCGTACAGAATCGTCAGTCTCTACTGTGTGCCCGAGGACTGTTGGGAAGAAAGGTGGGAAGGAAATGCCAACGCAGTATCGTCTCTGCAAGTGTACGAGACAGCTCAGGAAAGCATGGGAAAGAATAGCTAAAAATAAATTTAAATGGTGTAATATTTTGATTGACTTTTTTGGTTAGCATGAATTGCAATTTAATTACAATGAAATTCAACAAAAGTAAAAATGACAGTGTTTGATTGGAGCAATTCCCTGAATTCAATAAATTGTACTCCGTAATTCATACATCCCCATATATATAAATCAATTGACGATAGTGTTGTTACATTTTACTATGCACTCCTACAGCACATGTGTGTCCATGGCCGGATTTTAGAACGTGCAAGAAGAGCAACAATACAGTGCCTCAATTTATAGAGGGTTAATATTTATTTTTGACCTAGCTGTTTAAGAAATAAAAAATCTATAATTAATCCTAAAACTATTATTTTTTATCTCAAATCCCTTCTCTCTCCTAATAATTAGGACCTAATTAATTGAGTATGACAATTTCCCCAACAGCACTGATGTCTCAAGTCCTGAATCTGCAGAGATAACTAGAGACATATACCATTCACCACCAATACTGCATGAGAAATTGATCCAACAACACCCTTCATCTCCCCTTCCATAAACTCATTACTATCGTCATATTCAATCTCCACAAATTACAATATATGACAATAATCACTGCTAATGCATCAAACACAATAATAGATTATTGGCACTAAGAAATCCACCCCGTGACCAATGTAATTTATGTTGCAGCTGTTACATCGGACACCGCCGCTCCGGTAGAGATCACCTGGCAAATCATTGTCAGGGCTCGGGGCTATTGGTACGTATGCTACTTTTAGTTGCCCTAGCTTTAATTTAAATTGGAAGTGAATTGAAGTAGGAATTGTGATTTTTGCATTCAACTGGTGTTACACCCGTTCATACTTATTATATTTGAAGTAAAAATCATATATCACATTATTGATTTTAAAAATTGGGCTTATACTTTTGGTGGACCTCATTTATTTATAAGGACATCCTCAATGGTGGGAGTTTTGGTGCGGTATTTTAGGAGTTTTTGTAGGTATGATTAGGAAAGAGAAAATGAGAGAAGGATGTTAAAAAAAATCAAAACAAAAAACAAGATGTCAGTACCGTTGGGCGCGAATGTGCAGCTCACTCTCTCCTTCTCTGCTTGCTTCTTTTCTTTGTGGGACCCACACAAACCAACTCTCCCTCTCTCTCCTCTCTCCTCTCTCCTCCACTTCGTACCTTTTTTCTCTCAAAATCTGTGCACAACCCCTTAATGGGGATGTCTTAAGAATGAGGCCACAAAAATTCAAAAATCAACCCCATATGTGTCTAAAAAACTTTAAAACTTATGACATAATGCCGAAAAAAAAAAAAAAAAAGGAATAAGAATCACAATTAAACTAATAACTTTTAGAGACAATAATTATTATTCACCCAGATAGTAACAATTTTCTACTTCTCTTGCTAGTTGCTACAAATTGCATTCTTGACCATGGGAAGGTATATATCTTAATAATAATAATAATAATAATCCCATCAAACTTTTAAACATATTGAGATGTTAATAAGTGCATTATAATGCTACCTAATGAATTCCTGAGACACCTTAATTATCATTTCATTATCCTATCGGATTGAGGTGTGGAGCTCTTTTGTGGGCAAATGAGTTAGAATTTAAATTTTTATTTTTTGGTTTAAATGCTGGCAAACCTTTAATTTAGATGTGGCAGTTAGGATTCGCTCAACTAGATGCCGTAAGTTCCGTAACAAAGAAAGTAGGCTTAAGTTGCATGGTCACGTTGATCATGCGTGGATAAACAGAAATAATATATATACTAGCTAGCTCCGCACTCCGCCCGCAGTCCAATATAAACAATTCAAAGACGCTTCATCTTCATTCGCAAATCACTCATTCGAAGCTCTGAAGTTTTGCCGCAGTTGCTGCAAATTCGTGGGAGTATGGAGTGCGAGGGAATCTGGAAAATAACAAGCACAAGTGTGATACTCACAGTATTCTTACGTGAAAAAGTCTAATTACTATACAATTCAATATGCCTTATATAGGGGTAGGGGTGCAAACTCATTTTCCAAATCATTATGAGACGCTATTTAAAGCTGGTAGGATATATCCTGACCACCCTAAAATGTTCTCCGTACTGGTTTAGTGTGAGCTCTTTAACCCGAGCATCGTTTGGTCGGTCGCATTTATGTTGCGTCCCTGCTTGAGGGCGGTCGCATTTTGGCCCCATTTGTGGGGACCGATACGAAAAGTCATTGTAGACGCGTATCTGACCTCAGTCATCATGTATCTGTTTATGTATCAAGCACCGGAAGACGTAGAAGCTAGCTCTTCCGACCACAACTACACACCGCACCCAGGTCTTTGGTGTTAAGGTATATGGACTATGTATTTGGAAATAGAACCTTCTCAAAAGTTCATGGTTGTGAGGTATTTTTTGGTTGGCACCATTTTTTCAATTATGCTAGCTTTATATATACCTAATACACTGCTTTTAGGAAAAAAAAAAATGGTTCACCTTCCCATCCTCTGCAACAACAAGAGGATCAACATTGAGTAATAACAGTAACTCTGTTGCGTATTCTTGATGTATAATTGTATATATATGGTCTGTGTTGGTCTAGTAGTCTCAAGTGCCATAAAAATACACCATATCATTTATATATCTAGTACGTACCAGAAAGGGAAATACATTTAAGGCCGAAAGAAAAATAAAGTATTTGAGTTGTTTAAAATTTTATTTGGAAGAATGATAATGGTGAGATTAAGTTGAGTTCAATTATACCATCTTATCTTTATTCCTTAAATTGAGATGTCTACATACACAATAGTCCTAGCCTCTTTAATTGCTTTAATTACAATTATATTCATCCAAAAAGCCTTTATTCATCCACTAAATTAAACTTAATTAGCAAGCTAAGCATGTGTTATTGATTATTTGAGTGCAGTGGTTGCTACTCATGATCTGTTTGATTTTGATTACTAGCTCAAAACTGGGGTTAAAATTAAAATTAAAATTTTCTCCCTTAGCTTCCAGAATAGTTGTTCATCATATCATATCGCGTACAAGCAAGCTAAGGGTGGGGATGATGGGGTTAAGATAGATAATGAATTTGGTTACAAATACAATTGGATAGAAAATACAAGAGCTGAGGAAGTGCATATATAGATATATAGATCAGCAGATGCAGATTGAGATGTATGGATCCCTAGAAGTAGAAGGGGAAGCACATCTAACAATACTGATGAAGAGTTCCTCCTCACAAGGTATCCAGAATTTGGAGTGATGATATACTAGTTGTTCTTCCTGAGTTCGATCAAGCAATGCCTTGAACAGTGGGTGGTTGAGCAACCCAATTTTGATTACAAACCTTTTCTGGTATTCCCCAACATACACTACAAAATGGCCCTTGGGAACATCCTTGGGGATTCTTTGTTTTTCATGCTTCACTGATAGTGATGCCCAATTCCAACAACCACCACATGATTTGCAGCATTCATCATCACTACTGCGGCCTTGGCCTGCAAGAGGTTTGACGACCCTGCTGCTATCAATCTTGTGCAATCTGTTTAAGCATGCCTTGAAAAAATTTTGCTGCTTCATCATTCCTTAGCTTAGCTTATATCAGATGAGTTGATGTAGATATGATTGATATGATAGGATGTAGACGTACAGTTTGAATTGAATTGATGAGCGAGTGACAGATGGAGAGGTAAAGGGCATTGAGTGTACGAATTGAAAGCAGGAGAGGTTTATATAGGAGTTGAGTTGGAGAGAGCTAACATAAGTGAATGTTTGTCAGCATATATATATATATATATATATATATATATATATATATATATATGCATGTTCATTAATTAAATAATCAAGCTAACATAAGTATGGCTTAGTAAGTTTAACTAGTCTGCATATATATAGGACTACTTCATTATTCATGTTCCCATGCTGTACGTTGTACGAACATGAAGTGCAATTATATATACTATAATTAAGTATTTGTATTTATTACTCTCATCAGATGGAGAGTACGTGACAGTGGAAAGGAAAATTAATTAAAGATGATTGAGGCACCCCACATATGGAGATGATCGAGAATGGTGCAGGCAGGCGGATAAGATATGAAAGATGAAGGTAGGGGCCGCGCCGGATAAGCTAGCATCTTGGGCAAAGTGCAGTGCCCATTATATTGCCCACTTATGCTGTCATACATTATACATGTCGTCTTCAATTGGGAGCTGATCGAGCTGAGGAGGAGTGGGAAGTGGGGGCTTTAAATCTTCAATCTTTCTGCGTTGCTATTCATATATCACCATTCAAATCATCATATGTCAATTCAAAACCATGAATGACGACAGATACATACTCATGGGTATCCTAGGACGATGCATGCTTTTATATATATATGCACTTTATTAGTTAAAGAAAGTACTCCGTATGTAGATCAGAGTACTAGAGAGATCGAGCATCCTCAAATTAAAGTAACACAAACACACCTACTTCAATTCATTACTCAGTCATATAATCTCGACTTTAATGCTGCGCTGCAGCCTGCCTGCAGGTGTTCACAATTTGCTTAGGGATGGATAGGAGTAACATAATACAATATTATATATTATATTTACAAAGCAATTCATTTCTTGTATTTCTACTTTGGTAAAGTAGTATTTCGTATTTATTTGTAGCAGGTAGCAGCTCGCTGGTTGTGAACTGGTGAATATATATATATATATATATATATATATATATATATATATATATATATATAATAATTGATGATTATCCATTTTTTGGGTCAATGCATGCAGATCAGAATTGAAGATTGTAGGAGTTGAGTACTGTCCGTACTGTGACACTTTATGTAGGCACATAACTCCTGCACTGCCTCCAGATTATTATACTAATTTCTGATCCTCCCATCCAACCGCGTCGTCGTAGAGTTAGTGTATGTATGTGAGAATTGAAAGATGAAGGGTAGATCCATGCATGGCCGCCCGGGACAAATTAAATAATGACACTACTCCCTAGCAAGCTAGCTATTCATCTGATGATCCAATTAATTATCCATCTCTGCACTGCACCCAAAAAAAGATTTTTGTATGTGTTACGTTGCATCAAAATCAAGAATTCCTCCCCGCCCTACATTATTGCTAGCTGCGTTGCCTCTGTACCAACTGTAAAAAATTTAGGAATAAGATTCAAATTGGCTACTGAACGTAATCTGAAAATGAAATTAAGTCATTGAACGAAAAAAAAGTGTAATTAGATCAGTGAACACTCCAAATGTATGCAATTTCACCTAATAACAGATTACCATCAATTTTAGCAGGTTACTTGTTTACGTGGCAGATGAGTTGGTATTTTTAATAATTTTTAAATTCCCTTTAATTAATTTTAATAATTAATTTTTTAAAAAATGTAATTTAAAAAAAAAAGGACGAGGTTTAATTTTTTAATTAATTTTTTTTAAGTATTATAAAAATTTATTAAAAATTATTAAAAATGTCACCTCAGTTGCCACGTAAGCAGGTAACCTGCTAAAATTGATGGTAACCTGCTATTCGATAAAATTGCATACATTTGGAGTGTTCAATTCAGTGGTCTAATTGCACGTTTTTGGAACGTTCAGTGACCTAATTACATTTTTTCTTCGTTCAGTGGCCTAATTACATTTTCAGGTTACGTTCAGTGGCTAATTTGAACATTATTCCAAAAACTTATAACTTCTCAAGCTCATCCATCATGCATTCAATCCATACTTTAATTTCGATCTCACAAACAAACTTCGAATCTATATATGCATGGAAGTAATTGCTACATCTATCTGATCGATCCAGCTGCAAATTACCCATAGCACTTCAATTTCTCCATCCTGCAGCCTATCATATGATAACTTTAATTTGTTGAGGCGATTTATTTGGCGATCGATCCATGAGCATGAGGAAGCTAAGAATGATTAAAAATCCAGCATATATGTATATATTCGTACTCTATAGACACGTACTCAAGTGCATCATTAATTTAATTTGTGTTCGAAAAATAGCATAAATACATTTTAAGTAGCTATTTTGTTATACAAATATTAGTGGGGTACACTTTTAATTTGGGTCAGATCCATGTGGATTCAGGTTCTTCATAGTGAGACAAAGATATTGATCATTTGAGTTGGAAATAAAGGAAAAAATGCTTAAAGTAGCTTTTATGTCACATTGGTTTGGAAAGTGGGTTTGCACCAGTATTTATACAAGAGCCTTTCTAGTTTTTAAGGCTTATTGAATTGTATAGCATGGATGTTTTATTTCGCGCGCATCAGAATTAATCTCCATGTTCAATATTCAGTTTTGAACGTTACAAACAGGTATGCTATTTGTTCTAAACTTTGCTCTAGTTCGATGGGTTCTTTCTTTTGGGTGCTCAAACGTTGAACCGTTGTAGGTTTTATCCTGGGAAACTTAGGCTACAACGCTCCTAGCACTTGTGGAAAATAGCAAATAAGGTTTTAAGAAAAAAGTATTTTGCTCGACTTGTGCTAACCACCGACCCGAACCTACACCGTATCCGTTCGTCCTTTTCTTCCTAATACTTCTATAGATTAATAATCTTTTTCGTAGGATTATTATTGGGTTTTCTCATCATATATCCAACAATTTGATGGTTGGGAAAAAAGATTTCTTCAATTCATTTCATCATCATTGTATTTGTGCTGGTAGATAAAAAGGAAATAAATTTATAAAATATAACAAGTGGACCGCTGGGTAAACGATTAGTCAACGAATTGAAGGCATGCAGTGCAACATATGGGGCTGTCGTGCCACCTACGGGCATTGATATTTTGGAGCACAACCACACAAGTCGGTGTCTTAATTAAGGAAACTCTCCGCTGCGCTGCACTGTGGAATTTTCTTTTCTTCTCAATGGCAACTATTATATATATATATTCAGAAGAACAAATTAATTATTGTTATTTTATAGGAATTTTTTTTTGAATGTTATTTTATAGGAATTTAGTTTGATTAAAATATGTATATTTGCTTATGCACGCAGCATTTTAATTAATTTGCTCTCCTAGATTTTGTACCTAATAATTATATGCATTATAATATATTTGTAACAAATAAATATTCCGTATGAGATTACAAAAATAAATACTTTACCTAAAGTGGATTAACTTTTTGTAATTTTTTGCATAAGATCATAAGACGAGTTTATCTATAACAGAATTTGTAAATAAAAAAATATAGATTATTGATTTTTTTTGTTTGAGCTGGTCAACTATGAGTAATCTAAACTAGTTTATCTCATTCTGAGTTAAGGTCATAATGCGAGGTTTATCCCATGCATGCTTTTGACGACTCTTGATGGGATCAAGATTATTTACAAATTTGATTTGAACAGTTAACTATAGACAATCTAAGTTGATTTTATTTTTTTGTGATCATTTGTCAAAATAGCTAAAATCATAATTCATAAGATGAGATTAATTTAGTTTACATCCTTCTTTATTAACCATACACATAATTGTTGAATTTCTGTTGTAATAATTCAAAATAAAAGAGTATGGACTAGCGTGTAAAATGGTTCAATTTAAGTAACAAGTTACGAAACCATTAATTATACCGTATTGACTCATTCTCAACGACTCGACGCTTTTGTATTTGCTCCAGGCCTCCACGCAAGGCTTGCCACCTGCTTTTGTCTGCAGTGAATTAACAGAAACCTTTTCCCACTTGGCCCCAGATTCAATGCTCTCATTACTCGGGCTTTAATTATGCGTGATTAATTTCATTTATTTATTTTTTACCTTTTGTATCTACGTGGTTACCGTAATTTCCTGGCGGATAATGGTTACCAGCGGACTTTGTCGTGCTGCCGTGTGTAGACGTTTTTCTCTGTGTTGGCCAACCAAGTCTTTGTTCTTGACTTGCAGCTGAGGAGGCTACTTTGGGCACTGAGTTTTCTCATAAATGATCAAAGACTGAACCTTTATTTGATACTTGGTGAGTCCAGCTTGCCAGAAGTCAATCCTTCCTTGCATTCAGCTCTCAAGCACAAAGGTGAGTTTTTCTTAGTTTAGAGAGACCCCAAGTTGATGTTTTTCTTAGATTTGAGGAACTACTGGTCTCCCAAGACTACGATGTGGTTGAATTTGGTTCCTTTTGAGTCTGTGAGTCAGTATTATTGTGTCTTCTTCACCCCCTTTTTTGTTTATATCTTATACATCTTGCACTACCTGAACCAATTCTATATGTTTCTATTGAATTGAGGAAAATGGAATCTTGTATAGGGCTTTGTAAAGATAGTGTTTCATCCTTCATATTTCACTCAGTTTAGTTCTACTGTTGACTATAACAGTGATTTTTATGGAAAATATGCCTCTAGAGTTTTCAGGTTATAGTTTTATGAGATTATTTGCATGTATTGGCTGCTTAGCTATCTTAATTATTATGCATATAATATCCCTCCTTGTCTTATGAAAACTCAATTGGGATTTCCTATTCATGACTGTTATTGATGTTCTTTCTGTTGACATATTTTATTTATATGACATGCTTGAAATCTAATGTGAAAATGATTACTAAAGTTCTATTCTTGAATCAGAATCTGTATTGACGGTACCCTGATTTATTGATGACCATGAGGTGTTTTCTATTCCACAATGATGAAAAGGATGAAGAACCAAAGATAGTGAAGTCAACTCCGGTCCTCTCATCCTGTTCTGGCTTTTCTGATCATGATGTGAAGCACTCTAATCTTGAATCCAGCTCTCAGAATGCATCAGATACTAGTACAGAGTCCAGGGGAAGGACTCAATTTCCAAGTATGAGTGAGAGGCCATCCAATCTAAGGGACTTTTCATTCTCAGAATTGAAATCAGCAACGAAAAATTTTAACCGTTCAACCAAGATTGGGGAGGGAGGATTTGGGCCAGTGTATAAGGCAACAATCAAGAATTCTGAAGATCCAGCTAGTAGAGTTGATGTGGCTGTAAAACAACTTAGTAGAAGAGGACTGCAGGCAAGATATTTTCTCCTATCTTTTTCCTTGTGTTTTAATTATAATGTAAAACAACTGCCACTACTTTGAGATGCTATGGTTTCTTGTAAATCTGTCATAGAACTTAAACGTTTGGACTAGTATTCAAACTGTTTAAATTTCAGTTTCTCCCAAGGGTTTTGAAGATTGGACTTTAACCTGCATCTTTCCCAACTTGGATTAGTATTCAAATTGTTACTATCATATCAGTCTAGTTCTTATAGCAAAACTGGGGTTTTACTGCATCTAGTCTATATAATTATCTACTTTCCTGCTTTATAATTCAGGGACACAGAGAATGGGTCACAGAAGTGAATGTCCTTGGCGTGGTTGAACATGAAAATCTTGTGAAACTAGTTGGGTACTGTGCAGAGGATGATGAGAGGGGAATCCAGCGGCTTCTTGTGTATGAATATATGCCTAACAGAAGTGTGGAAAACCATTTGTCAGCTAAGTCAGAAACACCTCTCTCCTGGGCAATGAGGTTGAAAATAGCTAGAGATGCTGCTTGTGGCTTAGCATATCTACATGAAGGGATGGATTTTCAGGTGTTCTTTCTTTTTCTTTATGATGTTCATTAATTTCTTTTTTTCCATATATAGCTGTACTAGTAAGTTTCTTCAATAATTTTTTTTGTTTATTAACATCAAACATATGAGCTTCTAATGGTCTATATCTCCCAACTCCCTGACTCTCTCTCTCTTTTTAAACTGTAGATTATTTTCAGAGATTTCAAATCTTCGAATATTCTCTTAGATGAGCAATGGAATGCAAAGCTCTCGGACTTTGGGTTAGCTAGGCTGGGCCCTCAAGAAGGACTGACTCATATCTCAACTGCAGTAAACTTCCATAATAAAATTGGCCTATATTCTAATTTTTAAAGCTTCCCTGCAGGTGTTTGAGCATAACATCCTCTTTTTTTTTTTTTTTTTTTTTTTTTTATCAGGTAGTTGGTACTATGGGATATGCTTCTCCTGAATATGTTCAAACTGGTCGGCTCACATCCAAGAATGATGTGTGGAGTTATGGAGTCTTTCTTTATGAACTCATCACAGGGAGACCACCATTGGATAGGAATCGCCCGAGGAGTGAGCAGAAACTCTTGGAATGGGTAAAGCCACATCTGTCAGATTCCAAGAAGTTTCGACAGATCATAGACCCTAGGCTTGAGGGTAATATCTTAAAGTCTGCCCACAAGCTCTCTCTCGTTGCAAACCGCTGCTTGGTCAGACACCCCAAGTCACGACCAAAGATGAGTGAGGTTCTAGACATGTTAAACAAGGTTTTAGAAGCATCAACTGGAATCGGGGATCCTCGTCCATCTATAGTTCATTCGGACCCAATTTCAACAAAAGATGAAGTTGATAGAAAAGGCAAACGAAGGATAACTGATATGAAAGTTGGAGATGGTAGCTGGTTAGTTCGAATTTGGTCTTTAAAACAGCTGAAAACCTGCTGACTGCTGCATTTACATGACAGAAAAAAGAACTTACAGAATAATATTTTAGGATAACATGAAGAATTGTGTTCTAGTGACTCCAGCCCACCTCAGCCATATATAATTGTTGTTTGCTGCTCTCTGTAAATGAATGGGTTTCAGTTTTCCATTGCTTTCTACAAGCAAGAAGTATTAATTGTTTGAGATGACAAAATTAAAGTAGTTAACAATTCTGCATTTGTGCTGTTTCTTTGTATAATGAACTGCATTGTAAGTAAATCTTGAAAGGCAAATTTGGCAGTCTTGTCAAAGAAAAATGGTAAAAGCAGAAATGTATGTATTCATGTGATTTATTTTATCCATAAATGTGTAATCTGTTGCAATCTAAAGCTGGTAAGACAGTGCCAAAAGTGGGCATTGTATCCACTTCTGCTGCTTCCAGATAGGGAAATGAAATATATGGATTCGACCTGCAATCTCATTTGACTTATCCTTAAGCATTGCTCTGAATGATATCTAGAAAAGTTCATATAATAAAAAACATGAAATATATGTAGGTTTATTCTATAAATTCTTTTCATTCTTTCTAATTAAGAATTAAGATACATCTCACTTTCCTTCCTCTTCTAGGCCAAGCCCACAATCTTTTATCTTGTCAGTGCTCCTATCATCGATTTGCCTATCTTGTATTGGACTAAGTTTGACACCCATATCAATATGTAGTATTTGCAATCATGACATCCATCAAACTGTATTTGTAATTATTACTCACTAAACACATCTCTTCAGCGTGACTAAGATATTAACTTTCTATTATTTCAAGACTTAAACGAAAAGGAATTTATTGACATACTAAAAGATTCTTCAGGTTAATAATCACGGACTGAACTCACATCTTCAGCATGACTACATATACTAACGTGCTTACGTAAGATTCACACTAAACTCACATCTTCAGCGTGACTGTATATATTCACTTTCTACTCTGTAAAGCCTTAATCGAGAATGAACCTACTAACTACCATGTTTATGTCATGATAACATATACTAAAGTTTACATCTTTAACGTGATTGCAACATACTAAACAATCAACTCTTGTTGTTATTTTGCACTAATTTATTTTCTATTCACCAATATATATATATATATATATATATATATATATATATATATATTATAAAAGGGGTAATTCATCTTTTTGTATGTGTCTCTATTGGTAAATTTTATTTAAAAATACTCTTTTTATAACTCTTTTAGATGAGTAATAATATTGAATACACAGAATATGCCTTGATTAGTACGAGTTCACACTAAATAAAAGATATATCGATTACATGTCATCCGTTAGTATAAGTACACAGTAAAAAAAATATATATAAGAGAACCAGATTTTGAAAATTAAGAAGTGAAATATTTTTATTTTTTTTTGAAAGAAGTGAAATAATTTATAATATTATGTAACAATATAGTGCATTATTTAATGTAAGCATTTAATAATACGATGTCACTTCATATATAAAATTGATATTATATAAATCTGTTGTGCACGACAAGTTGTAAAAAGAAGGCAGACACTTGTAGCCGCAGCCAAACCCGAACGGTATATAAAGGGCGTTTCAAACTCTAACATCTTTTCTCCCCCACTGACGATCATTCTCTTTTTCCGTTTCTTTTCTCAACTCTTTCAAACTCCACGTAATTCTGCGTTGTGAACACATTCATATACCCAAATCACATTCCGGAGATACATATGCATATTCACTCTGCGGAATTCTACCGAAGGTTTGTTTAAGTTCATCTTTAGCACCGGTTTTTGCATATAAACCGACTTTCCTATTGCTTTTCTGCTCGATTTTGATTATGCTTTTGTGTTCTCTTCTTTCCCCGATTCAGACGAGCTGATTTAGAATTGTTTCATGTTTGTTTCACAGATACTCCGGGCTGCTGTCTTTCTTTGTACGGTGTCTTTAATTTTCTATTTTTCCGGTAATTAGACTGCTGACTTAGCTTGTATTGGTGCTTCTGTTTTTCGTTTTTAACATATAGCTTGTGTGGTGTTGAATAATCTCTCAAAAAATCTTTGGATAAAATATATATCGTATAAATAATGCAAAACTTTGATACTTTTTTGGGTAAACTGCTGGAAATGATGAGTTCAGGATAGTAAAATGGAGAAGATGTCATGCAAGAACGAGTAGAGTGTGTGTGTGTGTGTGTGTGTAACACCTTTTAATGTGAATGTGAACATTAATATAAATGCGGAGGCAGCTTAGCGGTTCGTTTTCTCTAGATTTGGAATCAGTTGGTAAACATTGATGAGTTGTGAATGAATTGGGTAAGTGTTCATTGAAGCTTTCTTAAGGCCAGGCCTAATCATGTGATTTAGATATCTCTGGAAATGGTTGTGGGTTTGGAATTGGCGTGCTGACATATACAGAAATTTACGAGTATCTAGATTTTAAAATATCTTTAAATCTTTAAGAAACAACTATGGGGACTACTTCTGGTTAATTAAGTTCCCAGTGAGGGGTTCCAACTTACTAGTTGATCAAAGCTCACTTAATTTTGTAGGCATTTTTCTGGAGCATATGTTCATCCTTGATTTCTGCATTCTGCATCTAAAATATTTCACCTTACTTCTAAATTGTGGTTTCCAGGTTTCAGGAAAGCTAGCCTACTCCACGCATCCAAGGAAGCAGTCTTATTACAGCATGCTGGATTCTTTAGCAAGCTGCATTTCCTAACCCATTAATCTATACTTGTTTCTTTGTGAGAAGTTAACATTATTAATTAATTAAGTGCTTTGGGAGTTAGGATACATCTTGAGTTGGAAAGTTACTTAAAGAGGTAACAATGTGTGAATCAGAATCAGATTCTGGGGCTAATTTTTTTGATGTGGATGCCTTCTTTAGTTATAACTATGGAGGCCTTCATAAAAGTTATAACTATGGAGAAAGTAGTGAGCTTGGCGCAATCTGTTGTCAACCACCGTATACTGATGGTACAGTGTATAGCAACACCAATAATTATGAGGACATTTCCCATACTCTTCACGAAGATCTGTCAAGGTTATCAATTACAGGAGCTTCTGAATGGCATACAGGGGAGTATCCCCAGTCCTCCTCCAATGTCCAACCTTGGCCACATATAGAGTATTCTCAGTCCTCCTTTAGTGTCCAACCTTGGCATATTCCACCAGAGAATTATTATGCTGGTACTTTCTTTTTGTATGTCTCGTCTTATGCCTTTTGTGTATCCTTACATTATGGTTATGAAGAGCTTTACAAAATTCTCAGGCAATATTGGTGTTCTGGAAGATGTTGGCTTTTGCTCTAGTACTGGAGATAGAAATTATGATGGGGAAGAACAAAATCATGTGATAGAAATAACAAATCAATCAGAGATTGATGGTGAAATTGATAGACAGCTAAATGAAATGAATGCAGTCCCCGTAAGTATACTTTTTTTTTTTTTGTCTGATTATATGTTGAATATTTTGCAATAGAATCTTAGGATCCTTTTTCCCTATCATGAAATTAGTCAGTGCATCAGTCCTGATTTTGCCCCTGTGAAGGTTTTGGTTGTTGATTTTTTTTTTTGACAGTGACAGCAACATAGGAGATACTTTCCTTGCCTAAATGATTTGTTTATAATCCTGCAAGATGCTTTGTTGGATAGTCCTGTGCACTTGCCGAATCTAGAAGCTTTAAAATAGAAATTTCTTGTGCTTAGGACAGTGTTATTACAAATTTTTCAATAGAAAATTTAAATGAAATTTATGGTTTTATTGTTTTCATGCAGCACACTCCTCAAACAGATACAGATATACCTCCAGTTGATGATGCAATGTCTGATCATGAAAGGCTTCTAAATAGGTAGTTGGTTTAATAAAGAGACATGGCTGTTACTTCACGAACCAATTTATGGAATAAAACCTCTTTTAATCATTTTTTCTCATTATGTTCTTATTGGGAGACTTGCCTTCTATACATGAAGAAACTAGAGCTTTGTAATTGATGAATACACAACTTTCTGAACTTGTTTTGCATTTATCATTTAGAAGCTCTGATCTGTTAGTCATTTAAAATCTTGGTACATTTACATCACTGGGCATTTTCCATTTTACTTCTTCATTTTGGTTCATCATGTTTTGAACTTATTTGTTTAGTTCCAGGGTGGTGATTTTTTCACATCACATGGCTGGATTGAATTTCACTTTTCATCTTCTTCCTACTCTTTGCATGTAGTACTTAGTAGTGTTTCGATCTGGTTTCAGACTGCGGCTTAGCGGCTTTGTTGAGCACGAAGTTGAAGGGGATGGAAACTGTCAGGTTATCTATCTCTTACACACTTTATCGTTCCATTTCGTGCAGTGGTGGAGCACTTTTCATGTTGTGAATCATATCTGTATTCTGCTATGCTGAAACTGAAATGGTATTTTCTAAGTTTAGGGAAAACCTGATCTCTTTCTGCCAAACAGGGTGCAGCCATACAAAATATTAAGAAAACATGCTTTCTTAATAACACAAGATGTTGTATGTATAGTCTTCGTGCAGCCGTCAAGTTTGAGATTATATATGTAGTCACAACATCATTTACATTTTTCAAATAATAACCATTTGTCTTAACTTTTATCTTCCAGTTCCGTGCTTTATCAGACCAGTTTTATCAAACACCTGAATATCACAGAGATATCAGAAAACAAGTTGTTAATCAGGTGATCATTGCAGTAAAGTGCATGCATTTTCTTTGCTTGAATATTTCAGTTATTTTTATGTGTTTTAATTTCTTGAACCCCTATTTGTATGTTCTCACATACAATATAATGTTCAATTTCATCAGCTTAAAGAACATCCTGAGATGTACAAAGAGTACATAGCCATGCCTTACAATGATTATTTGAAGATGATGGTGAAGTACTATTCCGTTCCTTTGCCTTGATCTATCTCATTATATTGTCATATTGCTTTTATTATGGTGCTTAGTTCTCTTAACCTTAGAATTTATATTTATTAATCCAGGGATGGGGAGTGGGGTGATCATGTGACATTGCAGGCTGCTGCAGACTTGGTATGTGAGATCTCATACATACTTCGTTCTTTGAATATATAGTTCATTTTGGGCTTTTAGTTTAATCTTTAAGAAAAAAAAAAAAAAAAAAAGGTTTTTCAATCTTTCTCTGATTACAGTTTGTACATAATGCATTTCGACATTGAATCCCACACTGTGCTTGCATTATATTCACACATTTCATATTTTTATTATTTATGCTAAACTGCCATCCAGTACGTGTTTACACTTGGTTATTTATATATGTATTTGAAATATTGGGCAGTATGGTGTAAAGATTATGATCGTAACATCATTCAAGGACACCTGGTACATCGAGATCATTCCAAAGACGGAGAAGCCAAAAAGAGGTGATTCCTTAGCTTTGATGTCCATTATTATATTAGAGAAGTGTTAAGTATAGGAGAAGTAGTTGTTAGTAACTGGTGGCCTTAAATTGTGTCTGTACGCAGGGGTGTACCTTAGTTTCTGGGCAGAAGTGCATTACAACTCCATTGTTTTTCAAGGAGGTACATAACATATATATATTTTGTTTCATTCAGCTTTAATTTGTCCTGTCCTGTCCTGTCCTGGATTATTAGTATATATATATATATATATATATATTGTTTTGGTTTATGTGTATCTATCTAACTATCTGCCCGGCCTAATACTGCAGATGCTGTTAAGGTGAAGAGGAAGAAAGGTTGGAGTTCGGGAAGCAAGAATAAGGGTAGATAGCGGTAGGAAGATGTTGCAGTTGCACTTGGCTAGCTTATGTTGTACAGTTAATTAGTTTGTGCATGGTGCAACAGGAAGATGTTGTTGTTTTATTTTTATTTTTTTAGTAGTTAATTTAACAATATCAACCAAGTTTATATTTGATTTTTGCAAATAGAAGAGGAATATTCATTCTTTGCCGCGCGAGTTCCGACGATCAGTTTCTGGACAGTATAAGGCTTCTCCTCCGACGGTGGACCTGTCAGGAATATAATTGTCTTTATCTCCCTCTCTTCTTCTATTATCGTTTTTTTATCCATGGCGCGGCATGCATGCATGCATGCAAGTTTCGAATTAGAAGATTGAAATGTATATTTGGTGACGTGCAGGATGCGTGCAATATTTGGGCAAAACCAAATAAGATCAGAATATATAGCAATATCAAATTTGATTAATTAATCTCGTCTTGCTTTTAACCTTGTGGTCACGGGTTTGAAAATTTGATTAATTCCATTTGAGATTTAATTTTATAAAATGATAAAGAAGAAATTAGTCAACAACTCTAAATTACACTTTCAAAATCTTATCTCTCTCTAGCGCAGTCAATTGATCTTCATTTGACTTTGGCCCTGTTTGGTAAAAAATTGGTCTATAGATCAATTTTAGCTTATTTGACAATTATTAATTGTTTGATTTAGTTAAAATGTCAATATAAATGTTTGGTTAATTAACTTTTTGCAACTTCAAAAGGCTAAAATTCAAAAAGCTACCCCAAGTAACTTTTTCAATTAACTTTTTGAGAAAAGAAATTATACTAAACAGCTATCAGCTAACAGCTAATTTACCAAATATTTTTTTACAATCAACTAATATTATCAACTATTTATACCCTCTAATTAACACAATCAGTTAACAGCTAACAACTATCGGTTAACCACCATTTTACCAAACAGGGCCAATTATTGTCTTTTTTATCAAGAAAAGTCGTCTTCATTAATGACTTCCAAAGAATTTAATACATGTGAAACTATTCATAATTTAATAACATTATGTACATTCTTGAACAGCGGCTTTTTTTTTTAAAGAAAAAACTACTGCCATTCACTAGGACGAGAAATTTCAAAAAAAAAAAAAAATTAAAACGACGTCGTTTTGCATCTGGGCGCATAATGCAACGCGCTCCGTGGTGTAGGATATAAATTGCCAACTGAACTTTGCCGGGCTTGTAAAATAATTACATAGGCTTTGTTGGGCTCATTGGAGTTTCTGGGCTTTATTGGAGGCCCATATAATTTGAGCCGACAAACAAATTAAGATACCCAGGGCATAATAGTAAATACAAGATAAAACCTCATCCGTTGAGAAAAACATCGGAGGTTTATGAATTCTGAGGCAAACATCAATTGCCCCAAACTCCCTTATCTCCATTTCTGCTTCGATCGGCACTCATGCTGACGCTGCTATATCATCCCGCTTGAGAACAAACAAGGAAAAAGTTGAAGAAGCAGAAGATATCAGTTCCAGAGATAGAATATATAGATATCAATGGAGGCTGGAAGGAGCTTGTTTTCTTCGCCATCACCATTTCCTCACAAGGCCAACATTAGAAACTGTTCTTCTTCTTCATCTTCAGGTAATTTTACTCAATTCCAATGCTTTTGTAAATTATTTATTTATTTATTTTATGAATGAGTATATATACATGTGTAATTGAGTAGTGAAATAAGCACAGTATAAGTGTTTGTTTGCTGTAAGGCATTGCATTTATACTTTCTTAAATACCACTCCTTTAGCTTGCAAATTTCTGTTTATTCAAATGTAATAATCGCATAGTAAACTTTGCAGTTTTGATGCTTCATGAACAAATAGCTCCTGCCCCCTCAACACGCATCAATTGTAGGCTTTCATTGCGTTTTGTGAAGGAAGAGCACACATCCTTGGTGAGACTGAGTGCCCATCGCTACTTTTAAGAATCAAAATTTCCTATCGTCTTATGCTTTTGCATTCAGCTCAATGCATTTATGCAAGTACTGCTTCATATAGTTCAAGACTTCAAGTATATAACAATGACTTAATATGAGGATTGGTTTTTCTGCTGAAGGAAACTATGGATAGAATGCAAAGGGAAGCTGCTAGCTCAGTTATTGATGAGGAGGATGACACTAATTTTTCTGAGCAATACATTAAGGATGCACAACAGAGGCTGCTTCGATTGCCCGGTATATGGTATCTGTAAGATTAACTAACTGGCTTGAAACTTTTTGTAGTTATGAGTGATTAGCTAGTATGGAATTTTTCCTAACTTTCTGAGCTGTTTTTTTGGTGGTTATTGTCAGATTTCCATCCTTGCTTGCAAAGGGAGAAGTATCTGCATATATGACTACAAGGTCCTTACCCAGTAAGGCAGTGGATTTAATTAATGTTGAACCATGCAGTGTGGTTGCCCTTGCACAAGAAGCTTTGTTGGCTTCAAGAGAAGCAATGTCGCTAGCTGAAGACTCCAAGTTGTTACAATCTTTCTTTGATGAATCTCCCCAACCAATGTCAGTTCCGTTCCTGATGAACTACATTATTTTGTAATTGTTTCTGCATCTAAATTTGTATTAGAAACTTCACACCAAAACCTCATTTTGGATATTTTTTTTTTCCCTAGCTTGACCAATGATCCTATGGAGGAAGAAAAGATTATCAGGTCAACACGTCTTCTTGAGAGACGATCTAAAAGGAGAGGAGTGAAGCCAAAAGTTAAAGCTCCGGAGATTCATCATTTTAAGAAGCCAGATGTTCAGAGGAAAGTGACTGGAACATTTGATCAAAATGATCCTCTTCGGTTATTCTTATGGGGTCCAGAAACAAAACAACTTTTAACCGCAAAACAAGAGTCTGAATTGATTCTGAATATACAGGTTTCATTCTATTCCAACTTTGATTCCTATAGGAGCAATGTGTTTTCCCAATTTATAATGCAAAACAGAATTTCTGATTATTACTCATTGATATACATACCAGGATCTAGTGAAATTAGAAGAAGTAAAAGTTCGGTTTCAGAGGGAGTTTGCTCGTGAACCAACACTTGTCGAGTGGGCTAAAACTGTGGGCCTCAGCCAGCTAGCATTACAATCAAAACTTCATTTTGGCAACAGCAGTCGGGAGAAGCTTATCAATGCTAATTTACGAATGGTAGTTCATATTGCTAAGCAATATCAAGGGCGTGGCCTGAGCTTTCAGGATATGTTACAGGTACAAGACTATCTATTAATGGTGGCATGATTGCTATATATACTAAATAGAATAGGATGATTTGTCTGAACTGAGAACTGGTGAATTGTTAACTGTTACAGGAGGGAAGTTTGGGACTTATGAAGAGTGTTGAGAAATTCAAGCCTCAAGTTGGTTGCCGGTTTGCTACTTATGCGTACTGGTGGATAAGACAAGCAATCAAGAAGGCCATATTTCAACATTCGAGGGCAGTTCGTTTACCTGTATGGCCCTTTGAAAGTCATTAATGTTTTAGTGTTCAACATTAAGCTCACTGTCCGTTAAAGATTTGTTTCTTTTCAGATTTTAGTAGCTTATGAATTAATGTTGCAGGTGAGCATATATGCCCTCCTTTCTAAGGTGATAGAAGCTAGAAAATCATGCATTGAAGAGGGTAACCACCAGCCAAGCAAAGAAGAAGTTGCAAGACGTGCTGGAATTACTGTTGAGAAGATGGAGAGATTACTATTTACCGCAAGAATGCCCGTTTCACTTCAACAGTCTGTATGGGCAGATGATAGTACTACATATCAGGTCTGTTTTCTTGACTTAAATCAGATGGGCCTCTGTTGAATTAGGCAGTAAGTGGAATGAATATTATATGTTGTGTGTTTTTCATCCTTAGCTAATGAAGAGTGAAAATATTTGTTCAGGAAATTACAGCTGACAATTCAGTGGAGGCCACTGAATCGAGTGTATCAAAGCGAGTTATGAGGCAACATGTACGTGGGCTCCTGAAAGTTCTGAGTCCCAAGGAGAGGAAAGTAATCCGACTAAGATATGGCATGGAAGATGGACAGACGCGGTCTCTGTCAGAGATTTGTGATGATTTTGGGCTCACAAAAGAGAGAATTCGACAAATACAGAGCCGAGCATTATACAAGCTTAAGCAGAATCTCAGCGACCATGGCCTGGATGCTTACAGGGAGCTGCTCATTTAGAGGTTCGTTCTTAGCTTGAATCTACAATCCCATGCCAGTCTCTGATTTTTCAAACAACAATGCAAATTAAAACCCGCAATTTATGGCTGACGGAGACAAATTAAATGCAAGAATTGGATAATAATGTAAATATATACAAGTGTCCTGTCTCTTTCTCCTCCAATTCTTTTGTTGGTTAACAAGGAAGGAATGGTGGTAACCCTGCCCTCTTCAATTGTCTCCTTATTATCTTCTTCTTCTTCTTCTTCTGTGAATTTTCTAGCATCATTCCATATATTATGTAACATCCTAGCTACCTTTCTTTCTGCACATTCTCTTTTGTATTTACCAGCTTAGCTTGCAAATTAAAGCTGAATTCAAGTTTACAATATATATCCAAATTATTTTTAGCTCAACTTCTAAAAAGAGTTAATACTTTCATTATGGTGTTGTAAAGCTCCGATCCATATGTTTCATTGTTTCAATAACAAACAGTATTAAAATACTTGAACTGGCAGAAGAAATGTGACATGTGCATGCATGCATATATGCTAACAACAAAATACATGGTCAACAATTTTATTTAGTATTTAGTAGTAGAAATGAAAATTATTAGAAAGATTTTGAAGTAATCAATCGATATGGATGTGACATTTGATAGATATATTTAATGGTTTTTTTTTTTAATGATTTAAGTGTAATATAATACAAATTGGGCCCAATTTGCAATAACATTATGAAGATAAAAGAAATATATGATTCAATCAATTTTTATGTGAAAATAAATCAATGAAACATATAGGAATTTGTTCAATTTGTATGTGATGAGGTGTGAAAGCTTCAAGCTGAGTATAGGATTTAATAATATTTTTGCGATATAATTAAAGAATGAAGAAAGGATATTTTTCCCAGAGTTTTTCATAGTAATTAATCCTTGTCTAAGTAATGGCGTTGTAATTT